GAATCCTACGTTAAGTCTAACACAGAGGTACCAAGGTTGGTACAGTCATCTGGATTCAAGGCCAGAAAAGGCCAGCTTTCAGAGAAGTTTGAGGTACTTTGCTGGCACTGTAACAAACCTGGACACAAGAGAGCTCAATGCTGGCAATAAAGTGTGAAGCGCGAATTTTTTATCTTTTTTTTATGTTGAACCAAGGAACCTTGTATTCACAGCCCAACACGTTAGTTTTTAGTTTGAAAATCTAGAGTACACAAGCAGAAAACTGAAAATTTCTTGTATATTACATTCCTAATCTTTGAAGTCAGTTTCTCGAAAGGATTACATTGTAAGACTCGAGATGATTTGCTGAGCTTCTCAATCTAATGTTAACTTCATTTTACTGGAAATTTTCAGAACTTTAGAACTATTATTTGAGCTAGTTGAGAGGTATAATGCGACCCCTATTCAAAACCATGAACAAATGAGTTCTAATTTTCACACCAGTAGGGAAGAAGATACCTCCCGTAAAATTAAGAGACCTTGTTGAATTTTAATTTTATGTTTGTAAGTTCTGTACATCTAATCAAGTTATTTTTAATTATTTATTGGTTTAATGTAAGTGGCTATTGTTCGGGACAAACAATACTAAGGAAGGGGCAGTGTTACGACAGCAGAAGTCACGTGACACTGGTAACACAGAATGAGTATCTAGAACGTTCGTGAAGGCTCGAGCGTTTACTAGATACGCCCTCTATTTTGGATATATAAGACCGGCGAGAAGTGACGCCATATATATATATAGATAGATAATAGCAGACAGAGAGATTGAAGATATAGATAGATAATTGCAGACAGATAGAGACCGGCAATTGAGTCAAGCGCAGTAGTAAAGTGCGTGAATCGTTGTGAATTATTGAGTGTGTTTAAGTTAAAGTGACTGTGTAAATTAGGTGTGTTGCAAATTTGTATTGAGAGGGAATAAACTAGTTTTGTTTAAGAAAGGACTTGTGTCGCTGAAGTTTCATGGGAAAGAACTTCTACGAAAAATTAACAAACGAACAGAGACGTAACAATAGCAAATATCTATTGATTTTTCTGGTAAATGGCGAATCAGTTTTTAGATCAGTATTTTTACTCTGAAGTTAAAACCTGTATTGGAAAATCCAAGACTATAAATTAGCTTCTAATTAACATGAAATACTGTTGTTAACGAAATAACAAGGCGTATTCATCGATAATTACAGTATTACATTATTCATCATAGTTAGTTTGTAATATTTGCAATTTAGGTTTATTTATAATAGATTTATTGATAAAAACTGTTTTGGTACTATTTCTTTAAAATATGGATATGAAATAATCTTTTGCTTTGTTTTAGCTATCTTATTTCATTTTATGCGATTTTATAGATAATTTTATATCCTTATAAATCATTTGATAAGATATATTTGTTTCTTTAAAATTTTCTACTTTGGTGGGTAAATGAAGTTTCCCAGGTAATTACCAAAGTCAATAATGACAGCGTTAAACATTTCATGTACCGATATTGCAATTGTGGTAAGTATTCCTCCTTTAGACCAGTGATTCTGAACATGGAGCGCACGTCCCACAGTGGGCCAATTTGAATATATTGGGGGCAATTTGAAAATGTTACAATAAGAAAAAATTTTCATTTGGGTGTGAACTTTTGGTAAATTTCTAAAATTTTATATTATGTTATTATACCTTTTCAACATCAAATTTGTTTTTATATTAAGGGAGCATCAAATTTTTTGAGGTGTCAAGGTGGAGCATGGAGCAAAAATGGTTAAGAACTACTGCTTTAGACCAATAAATATCCAATAAAACGACGACAGAGGGCCGTCTTTAGTATAAAAGACTGTCAGGTTAGATTTTTCAGATTTGTAGTGTATTTTGTATAGCGGAAGATGAGGTATATCGGTATGGCTATAATTACTCGTAATGAGTGTACTAGAAAAATGAACTTGTGAACGAACTAAACTTTTGTTGAATGTAATTCGACAACTTCAAGGTGATTAAGTAGAAACTTCTTTTGTGTGGAAGTACTTGAAATATTTGTATGTCATTGTTAAGCAGGTGCATATTATTCATATTTGGCAAACCAACTCTTCAGTTTTTTCATGGGTTTTGATTTGACATAAGATTAAGAAGCCTATTTATTGTCTTGCAGATAAGTCTTGGCAACCCAAGTCAGTGTAGGCTAGATTTCTAGGTAGATAACGTATTGTTAGGCTTAGGCTAACGCACCTACGAAATGATAGGCCTAGCAACCGTTCAGCATCAGCTGAAACCTGGTAAACTTCATATTTTTAGTACTAATAGTAATACTAGTACTACTATTACTATCAGAGTAGAGTCTCATGATGTTACACTTGCACTTTATGGGATTATAAAGACGAGCAACTTAGAGGAACTAAAATCTACACTATGTATTATAGTTCATCAAAACTTATTATTATAGTTAAAAGGAGGGAGTTGTTAAATCATACTCGTAGTTAAAAATTGATTTGGGTGAAGATGTAGTTCCTTTTAATTTAGGTTCTAAAGAATTATAACTTGCACGCGCGCACACACACACACACACACACACACACACACACACACACACACACAC